TTCTAATTACTCTAATCAATCTATGAACATCAAAAACCAAATACATATAAACTTATGTATTTACATACATACAAATACTACAAATGAAAACATACAGACACTGCGCTTACTATTCCCCGAACTCCCGGTTCTCACGAGCAAGACATTCATTCATAAACGTAAAAACTACCATTCATAAATTCGTGCGCACCTTGCACACTTGCCCCGCTACAAACATGAGCCGTCCACAAGTTGATTTGCGTCGCGGCGATGACAAAATCTAAAAATCTAAAATTTTATCAACCACCGCGCCGATTGGATAAGTGGCAACATTGGTCTGAGGTGCAACCCTTGACGCAACAACTTCTACTCAGTTGCACGGGATGATACGGGTGGGGAGGGGGGAGTCTTGCGGAACCTACAATTAACATATTACATGTTATAATGGATCTATACCCCTATACCATGAAATTAAACGGCATTAAAATCAACCTAGCAGGAGTTATCTACAATAAGGGACATATATTTCACATATGTATGGACGTATGTTTATGTATACGGCGCTACATATACATATATTCATACATATGTGCATATACACATGTAAACATGTATTAAGATATACATTATAAATACATTCACATTCATACATTTATTTTAATTTTATTTGTATTTCAATTTTGTATTATTTTACTTAAATTTATTTTATTTTTCTTTATTTTATTTTAATTTATTTAAATATATTCTATTTCATTTTATTTGAATTTATTTTATTTTATTTTATTTGAATTAATTTTATTTTATTTTAACTTATTTTATTTTATTTATTTAATTTTACTTTATTTAAATATATTTTATTTTACTTTATTTTATTTGAATTTATTTTATTTTATTTTATTTGAATTAATTTTATTTTATTTTAACTTATTCTATTTTATTTAAATGTATTTTATTTTATTTTACTTGAATTTATTTAATTTCAATTTAATTTGTTCAATTTAAGTCAACATACACCATCTAGCATTAGATGTACACCATCTAGCATTAGATACACCATCTAGATTAATGTATACATATGTGCATACAAATGACTACATATTTACATACATACGAATGTATACACATATGTACACACCTATAAATGCATTCATGCAACTAAATATTGAGACTTACCCAGATGCAGAGTGGGCACCGCATTCCTCTTCAGCAGCTTCGGTCCTACTGCCTCCTCCTCGAAATGGTGCTCGCATATGAAGGCGTTGGTGAACGCAAAGTGGCCATCAGCAGGGGTGACTCCAATGTTGTCCTTCCACTTCTTGGCCAGATGAGGATCCTGGGGGAAGGCGAACATCCTAGTCTGGGCGTTGGAGCTGCTGCAGTCGCGAACGCGATATTTCCGAACCGGCGGCATTTTAAGAAAAACTTTGCGAAAATACGACCTCTTTCAAGCGACGACAAGAAAGATTTGACGAATGTCAATATGTGGCGCAATTATTGGC